CTTATGACGATGCGCTAGGATATCAGCCCGCTGGTCGACGAGCATCATCAGCTTTCGGGATCGCGCGCGGGATGACGAGCCGTGCCTTTGGGCGGGCTTTCATGTCAGTTGGAGGGGAGGCGGCTTGTGATCGGCCCCATCGTCGTCGCATGTGCATGAACGCGGGGGCCCATGGGAACGTGATGGGCACGGCACGTCACGCACTCTGCCTGAACAAGACGTCCATCATGCCGGAATTCACTGCTATGCGTCTATGACACTTTTTCGATACGCAACGTCTAATGCAGAGTAGAGAGCCGCTTCATGCCGGCACACCCTCCTCGCTGCACACGGAGCCTGGTCCTATCATTTCCCCGTTTCCCATTTCCATTTCCATAGTCAGCCATTCCGGCACACGCCACGGGCTCCGAATAGAAGAAGAAAATCAAATCAGCACCCCCACCGTCTCAAGTGGGTTAGGTATCTTTAGCGGACGGCAACGTCGACCTCCTGGCCCTCAAACGCCGGCAGCTCAGCCTCAATGTCCTTCCACTCCTTCGAACCCTCGACGATGCTCAGAACGGCTGCCACAATGGCATCCTCGTCAGCGCGCACCTGCTTGGTCGAGTCACGGTCACGCAGAGTGTAGGTCGAGTCCTGCACAGATTGGAAATCGATCGTGATGCCGAGAGGGGTGCCGAGCTCGTCGTTGCGGCTGTAGCGCTTGCCAATGGTCGCCGACGAATCGTCGATGCGGCTGGAGACGCCGACCTTGCGGAGCTTCTGCGAAATCTTCTGAATAAAGGGCTTGAACGCCTTGTTGGCCGACAGGGGGACGATGAGAACCTTGGTAGGCGCGACCGTCGGGGGGAAGGACAAGACCTAGAGACTGGTTAGAAAAACATGTTCGTGTCAACAAGCGAGTGACCATTTTGCACTTACGCTGCGGGCCTCGTCGCCGCCATCGCTGCCACGGGTCCAGTAGGAGTGCTCAATGAGCGAGTAGAGGATGCGGCCGATACCGAAAGAGGGCTCGATGACGTTGGGGGTGTACTCCCTCGTGTTCTCGACCTTCTTGCGGAACTCAATCGTCACGAGATCCTTGCTGATCTCAACCTTGCCGTCCGCGACGCCAGCAACCTCGAGCTCGAGGCTGCCCTTCTCAGACAGCTGCTTGGCGAGAGCCTCACGCTGCTCCTGCGAGGTGGCCTCGAGGGCAGCCTCAACAGTCTTGCCGTCCTTCTTGAACTTGGGGCCAAACTTCTTCTTGTCGACCTCGACCTCCCAGAGCTCACGGACAATGGGCTCATCCAGACGATCCCTGACAATGAGAGGGGCACCGGTCTTCTTGGCGTGGACGGTCAAGTCGTAGGCGCTCCTGTCGGCACAGCCAACGCACTCGATCCAGCCAGACGAGGTGAGGAGCTCAGCATCCCAGCAGTCGGTGGCGTAGTGCGCCATCTCGTTCTGCATGTGCTGCCTGAAGCGAACCTTGGACATATCCACACCAATCTTCTTCAGGAAGAGAGCGATACGGGCGATGAAGTAGCCGAGCGTCTCATTGTCGACCATGCCAGTCCTGACAGCCTCGCCAATGGTGGCGTGCTTGATATCGGTCTTGCCGGCGAGCTGGACGTCGCGCGCGAGGAGGGCGAGCTCCACGTTCTCCACCTCGGAAAATTTGGGGTGCTTCTTGCCGCCCTCGGGGTCGACAAAGTGCTCAATCTCGGCCATGAGGAACTCGCGCACACGCAGGAGACCGGCACGGGGCGAGATCTCGTTCCTGTAGGACTTGCCGATGGACGCCGAGGCGAAGGGCATCTGCTGCTGGTTGAACTCGAGGAGCTTGGCGAAGTTCAGGAACTGGCCCTGGGCCGTCTCGGGACGCAGGTAGCCGGGAAGGTTGCTGCTGGGGCCGATGGCGGTCTGGAACATGAGGTTGAAGGAGACGGGGGGCGAGGGCTGGACGCCGGTGAGGGGGTTGCGGAGGTCGAACTTCTTGATGAGCTCGCCGAGCTCCTCGCCGTTGTAGTTGTCAATCTTGGCCAGAACCTCCTCGTACTCCTGGACGACGGCATCCTCCAGCTTGATGGCCTCCGTCTTCTGCTTGCGCTTCTTCTTCTTGGTGGGGTCGTCGACCTCCTCGACCTTCTGACCGCGGGCCTCCTTGTCACCCTTGAGGCGTGCCTCGAGAACGTCCTCGACAAAGTGGTCGGCGCGGAGAATGTCGCCGTTCTTGGGGTCCTTGCACATCCAGTCGGCAAACTTGTCGACGTGGCCGCTGGTCTTGAGGACGTCGTGCGGGGTCAGGACGGTGCAGTCGACTTCGAGCATGTCCTCCTCGAGGATAAAGTGTTTCCTCCAAGCATCGATAATGTTGGCCTGCAGGGCGCAGCCGGGAGGGCCGTAGTCGAAGAGGCCACCGACGCCGCCGTAGATCTCGAAGGAGGGGGTGAAAAACATGCGACGACGCAGCAGGGCATCGAGCACGGGGCGGTCGAGGGGCTGGCCCTTGAGGGTGGTGGCGGTCGAAGACATCTTGTCGTGATCTTTCTGGTTCTTGCGGGAGACCAGAACTTGTGTTCGGGTATGGTGGGCTGTGGACGAAAAGAGACGCCGCGAGCACGAAGAGGGGGAGGGGTAGAAAAAAGTGGCCTGCCGAACTTCGCAGAAGCTAGGAGCGGAACGAATTGAAGTGGTGCGTGGTGGGGTGGTGAGAAGGCGAAGGAGCTTCATTAGAGCTAGACGAATGGGGGGGTAACAGGCTGTGGGTGAGTCATCGGCCCTGGCCACACTTGGAGCAGTGAGGCATCTGGCTGCTGGTCGCTGGCTGTTGCTCGCTGTAGGGCAATGAACGACAGAGGGGGTGGGTAGCTTCAATTGGGGGTTTGAACGGGACGGCTGCTGCAGGCGTGTGACTCTTCGTTTTGTGTTTGCGCGTCTACCTTACCCTGATCTGACGTGGAGCGTCACTACCCGTAACGAAAATCGCTTGTTCCCTTGGCCTGGGCTTTTGCCTGCAAGCCCCGCGATGCCATGTCGGCAATTCCTCGGAATCTGACATGAGCATTTTCGCAGGGGGTGCTATCCCCTCCCCCCCTCGTCACTGGCTGCATCCTAGTCAAGGTCTGAAAAGGGCCCTCCCCGCTAATGCGAAGCATGTTGGAGAGCCCCGCTAAAATTTCTCTGGCCCAGCCTACGATTTTCTTCAAGGGCCTGAAGAAAGACTTCGCTGCGTGTACGAATCAAGTTCAGACGGCCACCGCACCTCGATAGACTGCAGGCAATCCGACACGATGGGTTCACAGAAAGCCGGCAACCGGTCCTCCGGGGCCTCGTTGTCCATGAAGACGAGCAACAAGATGAGGCGCAAGCAGATGTTCATCGAAGACAAGAAGGTCAAGGACAAGCAGCGACATGAGGAGCGACACCGCCGCAGGAAAGAGGAGGCCAAGAACCCTGAGCTTCGCGAAGCCCGACTCGCCAAAAACAAGCCCCAGACCCTCGAGACGAAGCGAGTGTGGGACGATGTCGACGACGACAGTCTGGGCGCCATTGTCGACGTCGAGAAGCTCAAGAGGCGGAGACTCGAAGAGGAGGAGCGGGCTGCCAATGAGGCGATGGAGGTCGATGAGGAGGAAGACGACGAAGATGATGACAACGACAGCATGCTTGACTCGGGTGACGAGGACGATGAGGAACGGCAGGCCAAGCTCGAGGAGAAGAAGGAGAAGAAGAAGCGCGCGAAACGCGACGACAGCATGGCACCCTCGACCACCAGCACAAACCTTGACCTCACCCCCTCCTCGCTGTCGACAAAGTTCCCGACGCTCTTCACAGACATCCCGCCGCCGCCTCCCAAGATCCTCATCACGACATCCCTCAACTCGACCCTCCACCACGAGGCCGACATCTTCTGCACCCTCTTCCCCAACTCCAACTACATCCGCCGCACCCAACACCACTACGGCCACAAGTACTCTCTCCGCGAGATCAGCCGCTTCGCCGCCAATCGCGAGTACACCGCCGTCGTCATGCTGCGCGAGGACCAAAAGGTCCTCACTGGCCTGACTGTCGTCCACCTCCCCTCTGGCCCAACCTTTACCTTCTCCGTCACCAACTTTATGGAGGGCAAGAAGCTGCCCGGCCACGGCAACCCGACCAACCACTACCCGGAACTGCTGCTCAACAACTTCAAGACCCCCCTTGGCATGCTGACGGCCAAGCTCTTCCAGACACTGTAAGTCCCCGCGCCCTGCTGCTGGTCATAGTCATCTGCCGGAAGAGTAGTTGTTAACATGAATGCGCCACCCCCCCCCTTAGTTTCCCACCACAGCCCGAGTTTGTCGGCCGCCAGGTCTTGACGGTACACAACCAGCGCGATTATCTCTTCTGGCGCCGCCACCGCTACGTCTTCCGTGACAAGCGCACGACCGAGAAGAACATCACGACCGCCGAGGGCAAGGACCTCGAGGGCGTCGAGGGCATCAGGGTTGGCCTGCAAGTGAGTATTCCTCGGAACATTCTCCGAAAGACATTGTCTAACAAAAGTGCCAGGAAGTCGGACCTCGCTTTACCCTCAAGCTGCGGAGAGTCGACAAGGGTGTCGGCCGCGCCGGCAGCGCGGGCGAAGATGCCCTGCAGTGGGAGTGGAAGGGCAAGATGGAGAAGGACCGTAAGAGGTTCAACCTGTAAATCAAATACCCCTACGAGTCTCGTATGACGTATTGCAAGCTTTCGACACGAGATGTACGGCAGTGTCTCGGTCATTCAGGCCCATGATCGCGAAACACGCGAAGAGCTTGTCTCAACCCGATGGCGTTGCTACTATCTGAACTAGTCTTGGTTCAACCATTGAACACTAAATATTCGATCGTGAACGCCATTTTCAGACGCCCCCCTGCAGTTCGCCTGCCCAAGAAACCAATGGTCCTCTCTAACTCCACCTGTCGGGGTATTTACAATCAACGAGTGCCTGCCAGACCACAATTTGTCGATGTGGCACTCAGATGGACACGACACTAGCTTTTGGCTTTATGTTCGAGCATCACCGCAGAATACCTGTATCATGTTAAGACTCAAACGTACTTGGAGCTAGGCGCGGAGGTTCGCTTACGCAAGAATGCCTCCAATGGCAATGAGAACGCCGAAAATAGATTTATCGTCAACACTTCGTCCGGAGAGCATCCAGCCCAAGGCCACGATGGTGCACGTCTTGACGTGGCCCACCACTGTGCTCGAGACAGGACCAGTCTGAGCAACGATGAAGAACTGGGAGATGTTGATGAGAGAGGCACAAAGGCCAGACTGCGGGTTTCGTTAGTTCTTGTAAAGGGTCCGGGACGAGACATGTACAACGCACAATCAAGATGAGAATCCACCGCGGAAGGGCCACCTCTGACCATACTGGGAAGTTGTCCACAAATGGAATAGCGTATAGAAGTAGAAAGGCAGCAATCGGCGCCTGGTTGTGCAGCAGCTGCATGCTTGACATCTCAAGCTTGCGGTGATAGCTGGCGATCCAGACCGTGTAGAGTGAAGAGGCGAAAATGCCTGAAAAGGCGAAAACAACACCAAGCACAGACGTGCTGTTGATTGCAGCATCCGATGTAGGTCGTGTATCATAGTAAGAGACCATGCCGACGCCAAGGCACGCCGGGATCAAGGCGACCATGGCAGCACGAGGCAAGGTGGCCCGGTAGAGCACGAAATTCATAAGTGCCACAGTCGGGGTCAGAAGAATGCGGGCGAGCTGGTAGAAAGTGACCGAGGAGAAGGCGAGTGACAAGTTGGGAAGGATGACGTTCAGGCACATTGCCACAGACAAAGGGATCAATGTCTTGATCGAAGCTCGCCGGGGGACGAACAGGGCAAGAGAAGGTCGGGAGAGAAGGTGCAGTGTAAGCCAGGTGACGAAGAAGTGGAAGGCGGCAAACGTCAACTGGCAAAGTTTCAATGATGGATCTGAGAAGATGGCCTTGTTCGTGAAGACCTAACGCACTGCGTTAGTGTCATGATTAGAGAGAAAACAGCTCTGGATCTCTCACAATGCAGATAGTTGCCAAAGTGTTGATGAGCATCCATAGGAGCGCAATCCGAGAGCTGGCTGGCTGTTCTTGTGTTTTTTCAGACCTGGAGCCAAGCAGATGATCGTCTGGCAGGCCATCATCGTCGTCGGTGTGATCGACGGAACCTCTCTGTCCTTCCTCCTCGTCTCCATACAAGGAGGCCGATTTGGTCAGGCCTTCACGTTCATCTATTGTGCCTGTTTCGGTGGCTGACGAGCCAAATGATGGCGCTCGATCCATGGCGACGGCCTGCGTAGACATGGCGAAAGAATGACTGAGGGTTAGTTAGAGCAGCAGAGGTCACTGAGGTGGAGGCTTTCCAAGTTTTGTGATGTAGAAACGCGCGCGTCTTGGTACGAGCCGTTGGTGGCTAAGAGCCGTCTTGGTCGTGCCTGGTGTAAGGGCGCGTCCCAGAGGCCGTACACTGGAAGGAATGCGGGACAGGCTAGAAGGGAGGAGAGATGGTCAGGGCTGTCAACGTGCGGGCTAGCCACTAGATAGCCACCGGGATGACTCCTCGGCTTTGAAATCAGCAGGAGAGACAACTTTCGAGACTCGCACTTTGAGACGAATTAGGCTCCTTCACGTCTCGTACGACGCAATGTGTTCTAACTGCTGCGGTCTAAAGGTGAAGATCTATCTAGGCACCTTAGGTGGGCACCTAGGTACCTAGCCAAGCTTTGGCTACTGACTGCGCTAGGACGACTCAAACGCGATAACAAGGGCATGGGCAGACCAACCAGAGGTAGGGGGAGGCAGGGGTGCCTTCCAAAAGAAAGCAAAAAACTCCAAAATTGGCTGCTACTACCAGACTTGAGAAGGCTTGTCTGCTAGGTGGTTTCGATTCGGGTGGCAGGAGCTACCTGGGAAGCGGCGTCCGAGCCCGGGGGCGGTCCTTGGTGCTCTGAAACAGTGCATCGCGACGAAACCAATCTAACAAGCCCGTTGTCCGTGATTGACCCGAAGGAGCCGCATATACATTGACTTGTTCTGTTCGAGCCGCCGACATGCTAGAATTCGCGGTCCGATCATCACCCTGAGCTTCTCTGCACCGTTGGGCGACGGTTCGAGCGGCGGTCCTTCTCCCAAGCCCAGTGGCTGGACGCCGAACCCTTGATGAACGAGAAATTGCTCTCAAGGGATGACGACGTTCAAAGGAAGATGTGCGGAGCCATCCACGCGCCATTATGTGCCTCGCCTGCAAGTACTACCTATCTACCTATGGTAAGGTTCATCCGTCAGACGACGCTTGCTGTAAAGTTCAGACGGAACACTCCGATACAGACCTCATACATTTCACACAATGGCATCGAAACCGCAGTAAATACCTAGCATCTGAAGGAACGACAAATCATTGAGGGGCGGAGGATGCCATCTGCCCGGAGAGTTTCATGAACTGTCGTGTTCACTACTGATCATGGTTACATTCCATGAACCTTCCAAAGCGAAATGCGTCACCCCAGCACTGGCCAGGTAACAACGGCTGGCAAAAAAAAGTGTCATGTGGCCATTTTTGTCTTTTGTGCTTGCAAAACACACAAACAGGACGCTGAATATGCCATGTCTCAACATGCAGTTTTGCAGGCGTGTTCCTCGCCGAGAGTGTCAGGTCTTTTGAGCTGGGCGTCTAGGACCATGTTCTCTATTGGCCACCGCTTGGTGTGTGTCCGTCACTTCAAAGCCAGTCGCAGGTCAACTTTACGATCCAGGGGTCGCGACCCCCACCTGCTTCGTTAGCGCCGCACTTGCGCGACCGCCCCTGATCCCCATTCCCCAGACATTCAAGGAAACTTTTCTAGCCTTGTCAAGATTATTAAATGTACAAGGCCATGCGAGGGGCACATTGTGCCTGGCGTGGATGACCACGACGTGTCAAAGAATGACCAGGGCTTCACTGAACTTACTGACGACAGTCTTCAGAGGCTCCCATGGTATTTGAGGGGGAGGAGAAGCCAAGACACCTCGTCTGCACCTGCCAGGTCGCGCCCACCATCCTCGATACACCATCTTTCAACACGTCGATTCACTATCATCAAAGCGATAACAGAGACGCTCTGACCAGCTACGTGAAGTCAGCCAAGACATTGCCCGCCAGCACGCGCAACCTCCCTTGCTTCACCTTCACCTGCCTGCAACAGGCCATCTGGACGTGCGTGCTCCGTGCGAGGCGTAGCTTGTTTCCCGAGACGAAACGCCAACATCTGTACAACTCATTCGGTATGCTCGTCTATTGGTAGACTACCAAGAAGAGAAAATCTTCCTTTGTCCCGTCTAGGAATAGGTGAGTGAGCAGAACTACCCCGCTGGGCGCAACGCACGATCATGGTCATCGTAGGCGGGGGTCAGACCCTGACCTTCCTCATAATACGTACTGAGGCGAAAAGCAACAACAGTAGGACGCCAACAACACCTTCTTCATCGGCCCCAGCCCTGCGATTGAGTCTGAAGGATTTCACGAGCTACAACATCAGTGCCTCTCTTCTCATCCGCTTGTGTTTTCGTCCCATTCGCGCAACACTCCACACCACTGCCCCTCTTGACCCTGATATCAACACGCGATAACGTGAAGTATCCTGGCTCGCGGGATCACCCTCAACATCCTCGTAATGACACAACTCAAATCCAATGGCGCATCAGGTGAGTCGCTCAGTACACATTGTAGTCCGCTTTACTTGCTGACGCGTGACGCCTTGTCAGCCCACAGCCACAGCCATCGCAAGTTCTTTGAGGATGGGGGCATCTGGAAGGAAGCGCCGTTGCTCACAGGTAGCACCAAGTATGAGCCTCTTGGTGATGTCAAGAACATCATGATCACAGGCGGCGCTGGGTTCATGTGAGTGCTGTCCTTAGATCCAGACCCAGCCACCGGGCCGGTGTCGCACCATGCTAATACTCTCAGCGCTTGTTGGTTTGTGCGACACTTGACACTGACCTACCCTGACGCCTACAACATCATCTCCTTTGACAAGCTCGATTACTGCTCGTCGCTCAACAATACGAGGGCGCTGAATGAAAGGAGCAACTTCACCTTCGTCCAGGGCGACGTGACAAATCCGAACGAGGTCCTCAACTGCCTGAAGCGGTACAACATTGACACCGTTTTCCACTTCGCCGCACAATCTCATGTCGATCTCAGCTTTGGCAACTCCTATGGGTTTACGCACACGAATGTCTACGGCACTCATGTATTGCTCGAAAGCGCCAAAAGTGTTGGTATCCACAAGTTTATTCACGTCTCTACCGACGAGGTGTACGGAGAAGTCAAGGACGATGACGACGATTTGCTCGAGTCGAGCATCTTGGCCCCGACGAACCCATATGCTGCAAGCAAAGCCGCTGCCGAGATGCTGGTACAGTCGTATCAGAAGAGCTTCAAGTTGCCAGTCATCATTGTTCGCAGTAACAACGTTTATGGCCCACACCAATTCCCAGAGAGTACGTGGGACAACGCTGGAAACTTACTTACCGGTGTCCTGCTAACTTGGCAGAAATTATCCCCAAATTCACGTGTCTCCTGAACCGCGGCCAGCCGGTTGTCCTCCACGGAGATGGAACCCCGACGCGCCGGTACCTGTTTGCTGGCGATGCCGCCGACGCTTTCGACACGATCCTGCACAAAGGCCACATAGGCCAGATCTATAATGTCGGATCCTATGATGAGATATCCAATCTCGACTTGTGCAGTAAGCTGCTACGTGAGATGAACATTTCACAAGGGGAACCGGAAGACTTTAAGAAGTGGGTCAAGTACACGCATGATAGACCGTTCAACGACCACAGATATGCCGTGGACGGCACCAAGTTGCGCCAACTTGGGTGGGAACAGAAAACAAGTTTCGAAGAAGGATTGAAGATCACCGTCGACTGGTACCGGCGATTCGGAGAGGAGTGGTGGGGCGACATCAGCCAGATTCTGACCCCTTTCCCCATCGTTGCTGGGCTTGAGGTGGTACCGGATAAAGGGGTAGTCACCGACGTGCCGCAGCAGGCTCGAGAGGAAGGGAGCAAGAAAAGAAAGGTCGACGGCTGAGTGGGGCGGAGTATGCCGCAGCTGTGTAGACGAGACGAAACTTTCACCATGCTTCAACATGGATTGGCAAGGTTTCTCGTGCCATGATTTAGGGAGCGGGGCGTACCGGTATGTCGGCTTGGAGGAAAGTGGGTTGAAGCAACAAGAGATCACAAGTCAACCTGGCGCATGGAGCACCTAGCTAGACAGTAACGGAGAGGGGGGATTGGGCAGAGAGGTGTGTCGTTCCTCTTTCCACGCATCGCAGCTTATGCAATCATTAGCTCGACTCAAGGCTTGGTCACAGGTACACACGGAATACAAACGCTTGAGCCCGCGGATCTGGTTCTCGTATCAGTGCATATGCGTGTAACAACCCGAAGGGTCTCCTCCCCGTCGGCACCGCTGCACGAGTGACAATCGGCGCCGCTCTTGGCATCTTGGCAATGCCGGCACGCATCCCCCCCTGGGCTGCCGGTCGGGGTGGGTTCATCTAACGAGACAAGAAAGGGTACCTGTACCGCGGCCTGGAAGTTTAGGGATAGGGGCCCAATGAGGGAGCTGTCACCCCGTCGTCGGGCGCCGTTCGGGTTTTGTGGGCGCCCACCAGGGGCCAAGTGGGATCTACCTCGTGGTACGAAGGACAAGTTTAGCGGGTGCAAGAACGTGGAGCGAGCATGGCAGCGTTGCCTGCTTGCACATCGTGGAACAGAGCTATGCCCCGTTGTCATACGCACTAATGGGAGAAGAGAGCCCTTCGTTTTTGCTTCCGTCCCCACACTACTTGTGCTGGCGAGGGCCCTCCCCCCCCTCCCCTCTCTCCCTCCTCACCAAGGCCGGTTGCAGGCTGGGCTGCAGTGGCGCCCGTTGTGACGGCGGGATGGATGGGTGGCCCGCGGGGGGCTGTCTATCCGGTGGATCGTTGCCACAGAGGGCCTGGGCTGACCTGGCATGCGCTCTGTTGGGTTGTTTGCGGGAGTAGAGAGGGGCCGAGGAGTGTGAGGGCGGGGGGGGGGGGGTGGCGGCCACCAAGAGTCGGGGAAAGCGGGTAGACGGACGGCGGGGACGAGGAGGTGCCTGTGCAGGGGAATGCAATGCAGTGCGTTGCTGGGATGGGCACAAACAGGCACAAGGAGATCAAGGCACCGCCAGGCAAGGTTGATTTGTGTGGTTGCATACCCACTCGAGTCAGTTGCAGCATCATACAGTGGTATGTGGTAAGTTTCGACCATTCAACCAGTACCGACCGGGG